CGCGCTACTGCACGTAATCGGCCCCGCCCCCACATGACCGCCCCCGCCCCCTCGCGAACTCCCAGAGAGCGCTTGCCGGACAGGACCATCGTTCCCACAGTGCTGGCTATTTCACTCTGCCTCCTTTAGGTCGCTGCTCTAATCCGATGTAGAAACACCTGTCTCAAAAGCGGAGGAGTAGTTTTCTGATGGCTTTTTCTTTTTCTTTCTTTTTTCTTTTTTTGGGGGGATTGGTGAGAGAATACTTAGGACTGACGCATTCTAATGAGCGTTCCTTCAAGCTTTAAGAATAACTGCAGAATTACCATCCTCCATCCTCACCCCACATTCCTTTTAAGCCCCAAAGGCTCTTATCAGGCAGAACAGTGAGGATGGCCAGTATCCCTTCATTGCACGGTACCCACACTGTCGCACCAATAGGTAGCCTGGAGAACACAGTCTCAGAGACAGGATTAGCTGGCTCGCAATAGAAGATTCCAAAGAACCCTGAAAGCTCAAGAACCCCAGACACAGGGAGACTTGCCAGGAAGCAGCAAAGCAGGCTGCCTTGCCTGTAGTCGTGGTGCCCACCTCCTGCAGCTCCTGCCTGCTTATCTGTAGAATGCCTGCTTGGGCACAAAGTCTAGAGGCTTACCAGGTTCACCTTCCTGGATTCCTGTCACACTCCACCTTCCATATAGAGGGCAACACCGGGGTCCACGAAGTCTACTCAACGGGTCACTCCTTAACCAGACTGTGAGTTCCTTTGCTCCACCTCTAGGTCCCAAGAGGGACCATGTGCCATAACACATGAAAAGTGCTGTGAAACACAGGGGTGGGTCTTTCTTTGTCCTAAAACATAAAGTTTGGTCAAAGATGAAAGTTTGCAGAGAAAGCCACTTAGAAAAAATGTTGCCATTTCCTTGGGACATAGTCAAGTAGAAACAGACCTTTAGTGCAAGAGCCATGGAATAGCAGAACTGTGGGATGGGAGAGGCTCTGAGGATTTAGCTGAGATACATGCAAAACATGGTGATATATTTACACTTCTGGACCATCCCAAAGCTTTGAAGTTCAAAAACCAAGCCGGATCTGATAGTTTATTAATATGCTTCTCATACACCACTTTCTTTTCATACAAGAAGGCATAAGCTGAAGTGGTTCAACTGCCACCAGCCCAAAAGAAAAAGTTATAGGCAAGCAAGCACAGGGAAACTTCTTCAAGAAGCTCAAGGATAAATTGAACAAAACCTACATAAACAAACCAATCAGGGCTGAGGATTTAGCTCAGTGGTTCGGTGGCCTGCCTTGCAAGTGCAAGGACCCGAGTTCAATCCCCAGTACCAAAAAAAAAAAAAAAACAAACAAAAAAAAAACCCAAACAACCTGAAAAACTAACTAAAACTTCCCAATAATCTGCCTACTTTTAAAGAGGAAAAATAATTGTATTGTTGTAAAGGCCATAGAATATCCTTAGATTTTGAATTTAACTGGTTGACAAGAAGCTTTGTGACAACTTAGATAACAGATGTTATCATTTTGATAGGGGCTGGGATATTTTTCAGTCATTCACAAATCCCAAAGAATGGATAGAAAATAGTAATAGCAGGAAGCAGATTCATCTGCTTATTCAGCCGCAATACCAGCCAGCAGCATGACATGATGTTTTAAATTGGTAGCCCTGCAGTGTCTGAGCTCAGGAAGGTAAGTAACAGTTCAGGGAGCAGCTAGTATTGAGGTAAAAATTAACCAAAAATTGGTGCTTGACTTCATTGTCTCAGGCCCAATTCTGTGGATGCGAAAGTCCAGTCAAGATTAAAAACAAAAAACAACAACAAACAAATAAAATTGCACGAATCAGCTCCAAATATCTTTTTGACTTTCCAATTTTCCTTAAAACTTCTCTTCTTGGGCCAGGTATTTAGCTCAGTGGTTCTGCAGCCTGCTTCACAAGCACAAGGACTCGAGTTTGATCCCCAGTACAAAACAAACAAACAAACAACAACAACAACAAAAAAACAAGTTTGCCAAACTTCTCTTCTTGAAGCATAAAGATGCTCTCTCTACTTCTGTAGTGTGCCTCACAGCAACATCTGTAGGACTGGCTTATCAGATGAGCCAGTGGCTAAGGGCTACATGATGGGGTCGCTCTGTTCCCAACTAATGAAGCATGGCTGCATGAGTGCCCTCATTCACCACCATTCGCAGTCAGCTAACATTCACCAAGACTTCATTCATTAAGAAGGTTTGGTTTACAAATAACAAAAACAATTACTTTGACGTGATCTTGCAGTTTGATAATGCAATCAACTGCCCAGCTTCTTTTGCTTCCCTCCTCTGTTATCCATGTGCTGGCTCCATGCTAATACTGGTTCTCCTTGTGGTCATAGGTTGGCTCCCAGGATCTAACATGGGGAAATAAAGAGTTAGATGAAGGAATTAACAAAGTCCAGAGTTTCACTCTTATTGCTCAATCATTGTGTTCTGAGTACTGCTGCATTCTGATTAATCTAAGTCTGCATATTGCTGCACATACACATAAAAAGAAAAAAGGAGCTGGGTATGGTGGTGCATACCTGTTATCCCAGGACTCCGGGTGAGATCATAAGTTCAAGACTAGCCTAGACAACTTAGTGGCTTAGGAAGAGACTCTGACTCAAAATAAAAAATAGTATTTTCTGGTACTGGAAAAAATATAGACGTGAACCATGTTAAGATATTCCTTAGATAACTTCACAAAGTCTAATGTTTCTGTGATAGTTAATGGTGATGTGTCAACTTGACTTACTTAAGGACCAGAACCACTGAGCAGATTAGTAAAGCTATGCGTGTGTCTGTGGCTGATTGACTAGTAAGCTCCAGACTGGGGAAGGGAGGCCACACTGGATGTGGGTGGCACCAACCATTATGTATATAGGCTGAATGGAACAAAAGGGGAAAGAAAAAGTAAATCTGCATTTGTTTCTTCAGGGGAGCTCCAGTATTCACCACTGCATTTGGACTTTTGTCTCCATCTCTTTCCATCTTTCAGCACAGACTCCTCAGACTTCCAACACAGACCCTTAAGCTTTGCAATGTGGACTCACACCAGACTCTTCACTGAGCATCAGGCCTTGACCTTTACTGGATCCTCTGACCCTCCAGCGCACAGATGGCCATTTTTTGTTCTCCCATTGGATTCCACAGGCTGCCATTGTAAGCCAGCTTGTACTTTACATAGTCATAAAAATCTGTTACTCTAGTGAACCCTGATACAACTTCTTTTCCATTTTTGGACTCAGAGTCAGTGATTTTTGGATTTGCACACAATATTGTCATTTGACCTTTACCAAGATTGGTGATGCAGTATTTCTTAAATTGTGTTCCGTCTTTATAGTTTTCTGTTCAAAGTCAGCAAAAAGTTTTTTTGTAATTTCACTCTTTCAATGATAGCCTTCAAATACATGAATTGCTTTTATGCATTTCAAGAATTTTGGCAACTTTTCCAGAATACTGCAATTCTTCGTTGTGTATCATAATAGCAAAACATAATAGGTTTTATGTGTGTGTGGTTTTCTTTCTTCATTCTGTAAGTATCTCAATTGTTGCTTTGAAAAAAAGCGGTCATTTTTGATGACAAAATTTGCTTTATTATCAAATTCAAGTCCCATTTCTCCAATTCTATGAATCTGTGCATATGTAATAACTTTTTCATTTCAGTGCCAAATAAATAAGAGTATGACTTTTTCCTTTTATGCAACAATTAAACTTAAATCACGGAGTGAAAATAATGTACATAACGAAAATAAAGGATCAACAGTTTGAGCAGCTATGGTCACATTGATAGTTCTTCAGCCCATAACTACTGTCATAACTACTGCCTACTCAATAGCAATTGTGGGACATCAATGAAATGCAATGTATGATCCAATTTCAGTGATGTTAAAATGCAAAAATTATGAAAGCTGGAAATTATGGGCTTTGCTATTCCATAACCAATTAGTTAATTCAGGAATACAAATAGGTGTCAACATCAGTAGATGTATCTTTTCAGAGCCATTATATATAATTTTTGGGAAAAATCATGTCATAATTAAATTATGATTAGGGCTGCCTGAGGCCTAATGTCTCCTGGCTCATAAGTTGGCTATGGTATGTGGAAACACAACTGTTTTGCCTCCAGTCACAAAGGGAGGCCTCAGTGATCTTGTGATGCTGTGATGCTCAAGGGCAAGATTACGTCAGCTAAAGACATCCTGGTTCTCTGAGAACCTAGTAATAATAAAAGAGAAAAGTTCCCCTAGGGGAAGAACAAATTCCTTATTAGCCTTCTATCTCATCCATCTACTGTTGTAAGAATGCTTTGCCCATCTCACCACCATCATCAATAAAAGGCCTTCATGGACCTAAGATCCTCCTCAATATAAGATCCTCATCAACACAGGCTTATCACCGCGCTCTTGAGTCACCAACTACTCCCTCCAGTTATTATGTATCTCCAATAAATAGTATCTAGCTTGGAGTGTTTTTGCTCACTCTGGCATTGACCTCCCGAGACCGCCATATACTTTGAAGTCTTTATTATTTTTCTTTCTTTAGCCCTCACTGCACTCCTCTCTAGGCAGATCAGAGGGTTAATCAGCCTCGATATGTATCAATTTAAGTGAGGAAGTTAAATGCAACAAAACTTCATAGCATATCAATAAATACTGAAAAGGAATTTAGTAAAAATTTGACATTTCCCAATACTAGCTCTAAGTGTAGTAGAAATAGAAGCAAATCACTTCAATATAATAAAGTTGCTTAATCAAGACTTGAAAGCAAATATCTTAAATTTCAAAATGCTGATTTAATTAAGGAACTTTTCCTGTATCTCCACTATAGTGAAATAAAATGAGATGAAAAATAAAAATTAATTAAGTAGTGTAAACCCTGGAACAGAAAACTCTTATTAATGATTGTATTCCTAAACAACCTAAGATACTCTCTTTAAAAAGGACTGGAATTAATAAGATATTATTATTT